ATGAACTAGTTAAACAGAGTTTGAAGGCTTAGTATAAGGCTGTTTTTTCCCCTAAGGTCCTATGCCTGAAATTCATTTAGCTGCCTTAAGATGAATGGTGGTAACTGGTCTGTGGCCATGTAGTCCAAACATCCATTCTTTGGTTAACTGAGAGCATATATTAGCATATCATTTCGGGCAGTTCTATCTTTTCCATAAAGATAAACCCAGAAAAATATGAACTAATTCGTAATTGTCCATATTAATAACATAGTGGAAAGAGTTAGGTTTGGCACCAGTAGAGCAGGATTTGAGGCCCAGTTCTGTGACCAACTAGCTGTATGACTTTGAGTGAGTTACTTAACCTGAGGCAAAGGTTCTTCATTTGTAAAATGAAGTCAATAATATTTGCACTATCTCCTCTATAGGGTTGTCAAGAATACCAGATGATATGATGTGTTTAGGGAGTTTTGCAATTTATAAAGCTCAACACGAGTGTGAGTTGTTCATAATATTATTACGTGTAGAAGAATATTGAAGTTTAGAGCAAATAAATGTAAGTCTAAAGACTAAGTATAACCAGGTGCCTTCTCAATGGTCTTTCACTATTATCAATCACTCTTAGTAGTTTTTCCTCATAGAACTGTTCAACTGAACCTTTCCTTAGGATGAAAAGTTTATGGGTAAATTAATTTGAACAACTCATTACTAAGCAAATTTAGTTGTTTGTATTATGTTCATTATCAAGTTTTTAATAAAACACTTAATTACTTGAAAAAAGCTTAAGTGGACGTATGGATAGCTTCACATGTCCTGGCTTCAGGACAGTTTAGTGTAAAAATTCCTGGTGAGTACTTTTCTTCTGCCTTAGTCTTCTCACTCTTAAGATCTACCTGTCCCATGCTCCTCCATTTCTTTGTGTTAGGGAGAAACCAGTCTTCTGGTTCAGAGGGTTTGGCTTAGCCCAGAAGAAAGAGATGATTCCTACCTTTTGTGTGTGGTGGCCCCTTCTTCTGCCTTCGAAGACAAGGCTTGATGTTAACTTTCAATTTGTTAAATTGTCTCAGTAGCACTATTTTGATTAATTTCTGAAGATTTCCTTAAAGCTTTTCAGCAGGGCTTTGGTCCCGGACTACTTGTCTAAAAGATTTCATTTGTCTTAAGTCTTATCTTTCCAACTATATTAACAGCTCCTGGACTCAGAAAACATTGCACATGTTTCTTTTGTACCCTCTCCATCCCCACCAATTCTAGCATTAATTAATGAATTAATTAGCTCATTCATCAATTCAGCACAGGTATGGGGCACTTCTCCAGTGCAAGGTTTTCTGGTAGGTGCTCTAGGGAAGACAAAGAAGGCACACGGTCCCTTTTTCTATTGAGTTTATAGTAAAGGATGGCTTAGTGAAAAGAACATTAGATTTGAAGTCAAGAAGCTGAGAGCTAAATGCTGGCTCTGACTTACATGGTCAAGTATGACCATGGTCAAGTCAGCTAATCTCTCTGAAACTCAGTTTCCTCATCTGTAAAATGTTTTTTGAGAGGTAGTTGTTAAACATCAGTACACTTCTGCCTCTACATAATAATCTGGTTTATAACAGGTTATTAGTCTAAATTTCATCCCTAGGTTGGGAGGCCTTTTCCCACAGCCCCATCTGTCCCTAGTCTCTGTTTTATCCTGGCCCTCCTCAGTTTATGCACTTCTAGCAGTTCGCTACATTCCCTCCAACATTCATTAATCATCCCAATTTCTTCTTTCTTACCTTCCTGACGTCCCCTTTCCCAAGTCACAAAGTTACAGGATGCCACCTATAAATTACTCACTAAATTGGCATTCCCAAAGCCAACTTCACCTTACTGTGAAGGGCTATCACCAGGAAGAGGGAGAAGACTTATCCTACTTGGCACCAGAGGCTGACCTGGGAGCAATGTGCTGGAAGGGGCAAAGAAACAAATATAGGTTTGATAAAAGAAAATGTTTTCAGCCAATTAGAGCTCTCCAAAAGTGGAACAGATTGCCTTAAGAGATATTCTGGCCTTTCTCCTAAAAGCATGTAAACAGAACTAGATGACCACTTGTTGGGTCTGATGTAGAGCGGATTCTCACTGGAGTAAATGGCCTCTTAGGTCCCTTCCAATTCAGTGGCTCAGTGGATAAAGCACCAGATCTAGAGTCAGGAAGATCTGAGTTCAAATCTGGCCTCAGACACTTACTAGCTCTGTGACTCTGAGCAACTCACTTAACCTATATCTGCCTCAGTTTACTCATCTGTAAAAATGAAGACAATAATAGCATCTACCTTGCAGGGTTGTTGTCAGGACCAAATGGGATAATGATTGTGAAGTGCTTGGTAAAGTGCCTGGCACAGTGTAAGTGAAATATAAATTTATATTATTATTATTATTTGCATTTATTTTATTAGTATTTATTACTAATAAATTATTTTAAATGCAAAATAAGTAATTATTAAGTAATTACTATCAATATTAATAAATATATGTTTACAATATTATACATTGTATTATAGTAGCAATTAGACACTGCTACTATCTTTTACTTACAGAGAAGTAAGGATAACAAAACAGTGAACAATAAAAATAAAAGAAGGCATTTGTTCACAAGAATACTATTTAAAAAGTTAAATTTAAAAAGTTTAAATTAAGGACTTCCCATTTACCAAGGAGGATCTGTCTGCCTCCCTGGCATGAGCCCCTTTCAGTTCAAACATTCTTTGTTTCTAAATGAGAAAGACCACTAGTCTTTCTTGAGGTGAGATACTACTGAGAGTGACATTGGGACAGCATGAAAATGAATTTCTGAAGGTTTTCATCACCATCTTCTTAAAAACCTCCTGCACCCTCACCATCTTTGCCTACTTGAGGCTATTTGCCACTCCCTAGCATATGTAACCAGGTTGCCATCTAGTGATTAAAGCTCATAGATGGGGGTGAAGTCTGAGGTGCTCAGAGTTCAGCATCCTGTACATCTCTAATGAGCTCCCTCTGGGACTCCCAGGACTAAAGCTTTCTCAAAACACAGAAGCTGTTCTTAGGCATTTCAGAAATGCCTGTATAGCCCACAGGGGCATATCTGGTAAATCTAGTGCTTTTGGTTGGGAAGTAGGGTTTTCTCCAAGGTGGAAATAGAGGGGTTACAGTGAGGAAATTCATCTTGGGGCAAGTGAATGGATCCAGAGGGAAGGTGAGCCAGTCAGGAGAGTAAGACAGAATCACCCACTAAATTCTTTTGGAAAGCAGAAATATAGGTTGTGGTTTAACAACTCTCACTTTCAATGAGCCAATGGAGGAAAAAGGAGGAGAGACAGAATGAGGCACAGAAAGAAAAGTGAAGAGTAGGAAAAAGAAGGAGAAAGGAGAGGAAGGTAGAAGGGAAAAAAGGAATCATGATCCAATACAATAAAGAACAAAATATGTTGGCAAAGGACTGTGTAGAGCACAGAGAATCAAAAAATATAACAAATCAAAATCCTTTTCTTCTCTACATCACATAAGACATGTGGTCCATTCATCTCTTCCTAATCCTCCTGTTTTGAAAGACCATGTACTGTCATGTTTTTCATCTGTGTATTCCCAGTCGCTAGAAAGTACCTTCTGCATAGTAGGGATTTAAATGTTTGCTGAATGAACAAATGAAATTAGAGGATAGATGTTTGATTATCATCGAATTGATATTCCCTTCTGAATTCCTTCATCAGCTCTGTCACAAGTGTTTCTTCTCTTATACAAATCTTTGATCTCATGGCCTGGCTCTTCATGGGCTTTCCTTCCTGGAAACCAGCTTTCTTTAACTGTCCCTTGGGAGCCTCACGGTCATATCCCACAGGACCAATCCAAAGCAACAACTTGGAGAGGTAGCAGAAAAAGCAATGTATTTGGACCCAAGTAAACTGTTAGAATCTTGATTCTTTGACTACCTGTGTGATCTTGGGCAAGCCAGTTAACCTGTATAGGACTCAGTTTCCTCATCTGAAAAAATCAGGGAGTTGGATGAGGTAATCTCCAAGGTGCCTTCCAGTCTTAAAAATTAGGACTTTTGAGCATCAGAGCCCAAAATGGTAGGAGTAGGGCAAAAATGAACAAGAGGGTAGAAGGATATTGGTACCTCCAGTGACAATAACCATGTAAGTGGTCTGCAAGAGAGACAGTCACAGTGTCAATTAACATTGATTAAGCATGCACCCACAGAGTGCTTGGGACTACACCAGTGCCTACCAGACTGGTAGTCTGGTAGGGGAAATTCATCCTTAATCACCTGAAACACTTCCCCTCTACCCCTTAATCCCAACAGAAGCTCCAAGAAAACAAGCAGAGATGATGAGGGACTTCCCCTTTGGGAACTGTCAGCACTAGTCTGAAGCCATTTCTTCCATTCCTCTTCCTCTACCCAGACCCCTTCCACCCCCTGGAGAGCAAAGCCCAGTGTGCACCCCCACCCCTACCCCAATACATATTGAGTTGAAGTTAATTCTATCTCTTCCCTGGGCTCTGACGCAAGGCAGAATTTACCACAGGCTCAAGGGACCAGTCTCCATTGTCTGCATCTCTAACCCTTTACCAGCTCCCTTTCATGCCAAGGAGAAACAGGGAACCAAAATGTGGTAATATGATCCCCAATTAGCATAAAATAAAAACAGCTCAGTCATGTTTTCCGTGGCCCTTTTCAATCGTAAATCAAAAGTGGGAAATGGGACAAAAAGATATAAATATACTCATAGAACTAAAAATAAGGTTATGGCACATGCATATACATGCATTTATCATAACCTCAGAATTTGTCTCTTAAAAAAAAAGTCAGCTGGAGGGAGGAATCCAAGCTATTCTTTCCCCTAAAAAACACAACAAGCAGAGGAAGAGGCTTCCTCTTTCATCTGTGGTGCTGAAAGGGTTAAGTTCCCAGCCATCCTTCTCCAAAGTGATTTATGATGATGAGTAGCGTTTCAAAACTCTCTCCCACTCCCAAAGAAGTCCCCCCCCTTCCCTATGGAGTCCTCCCTTAATGTGTTGAAGTGGGAAGGAGGCGGTGTTTTGCTGATCTGTTAAATTCTTAGTAAAGTTTCTGAGATTTCCAGTGGCTGCTGTTGTTTGACTTTGGTTTGGAGCAGAGCTGAGGTTATCCTGACATTTCTGGGACTGGATCCAGCCAAAGGGAAGAAGAAGGGGGAAAGGGAAAACGAGAAGAAGGAGAAGAGGAAAGAAAGGTGGGGAGGAATACACGGAGACGTGAAGAACTGAATAAAGAAAAAAAAAAGCCCACCCCTTTTTCCCTATCACATTGCTGTGTTTTCCTTCAGTCTGGAAAACGTATTGATCCTGATACTTTGGCTCTCGGGAAACAAAGGGACTTAGCCAGATTGGGGGGGAAAGCATGATAAGAAGGATCATGGAACTTTAAAAAGAGAGAGAGAAATTCTCCAAACATCTGGGACTCCACTCTTGCGGGATGTGATGTGTGCTGGAGTTTACGTGTGACTGCTACAAAAACCAAGCCAGAACTTAAAGGTAAATGGAGATACAAGGATTTAAAAGGACGGTTCCCTTCACTTCATTCTACTGGTCAAGAAGGTAAAAAGGAGAAAGAGAGAAAAAAGGAAAATCAACTCAACTGGAAATAAGACAGTCTCTGGAGTCTGTGGTCTTTTAAGTTCAAAACTGGAGCTGCTGCAAACCCTTTGGTGCTGTTCATCCGCTGAAAGGGAAAAGAGCTGGGAGGAGACTGATTTCTTCTAGGGAACTGTCCTGCGACTAAGCTTCAGGACTTCCCCCTCCCCGCCAAACCCTCTGCATTCCATCTCTATGAGCTAGAATGTAAGTGTGTAGTCTTTTTCACCCCTTAAAAATGTCTTTGTTGCTTATTCGAATAAATGAAACGTGCATGTTGTCACACTTCATGTGCTTGGCTTGCCGTCCAGAAAGCCAACTGAAAAGTCAGTGCAAACACGATGATTGAGGACACGAGCTAGTTTTTTTTTTTGCTTGCTGTAAGTGTTTCTGGAAGGCTCCTTGTCCTTCCCAAGTCACTGAACTGCAAAGACTTAAAAGCAAACATGTCCCATTCCCTTATTCCTTCCCTCTCATTGCTCCCCACCCCCACTTGAAGGATAAAATGTATAGATCAGCCTGCAATTAAATCATTTTCTTGTTTTTCTTCTCTTTCTGTTTTATGTTCCTACCCCGTCGCTCCTCAAAGTGGATGACACAATGAACTGGATGATGGAATGGGGCTTCACCATGCTACTGGCAATGTGGCTAGTGTGCCCATCAGAACCCCACCCTCAAACAGTGGACAGAGGGAGCCATGGAGCTGGGAAAGTGCTGCCAGCTTCCCAGGTTAATGGTAGACCACTTCGATTCCTGAGGCACACAAGGAGGGCCCAGGGGAGTGTGAGAGCCACACCAGATAATCCTGACCATCCCATCCTAGACAGGAGGAGAGCTGTGCCAGTATTGAGACTAGCCCGCCCAACTCCCCTGCCAATGCAGACCAGAGTGGGTGGCAGCCGAATGAGGCAGGAACAGAGACCGACAGCCAAGAGCTCCCCAAGGGAGATGGTGAAAGATGAGGGATCCTCTGCTCGGGCAAAAATGGTGCGATTCCCATCAGGGTCCAGCTCTCCCAACATCTTAGCCAGCTTTGCAGGGAAAAACAGGGTATGGGTCATCTCTGCCCCTCACTCGTCGGAGGGCTACTACCGCCTCATGATGAGTCTCCTAAAGGATGATGTGTACTGTGAGCTAGCAGAAAGGCACATCCAGCAGATCGTGCTATTCCATGAGGCAGGGGAGGAAGGTGGCAAGGTGAGGAGAATCACCAATGAGGGCCAGATCTTGGAGCAGTCCCTCGAACCTACTCTCATCCCCAAACTGATGAGCTTCTTGAAACTGGAGAAGGGGAAGTTTGGCATGGTGCTGCTGAAGAAAACCCTGCAGGTGGAGGAACGCTACCCATACCCAGTGAGGCTAGAAGCAATGTATGAGATCATTGATCAGAGCCCTGTCCGAAGGATAGAGAAGATCCGGCAGAAGGGGTTTGTCCAGAAGTGTAAGGAAGCTGGTGTGGAGGGACAGGTGGTTGAGGAAGGGAATAATGGTGGTGGTGGAGGGAGCAGACCAAAGATGGGCAGTGAAAAGAAGAAAGAAGACCCACGGAAAGGACAAATCCAACCCACAAGGGAGAGTCGAGTGAAAACAATAAAGAAATTGGTCACCACAACAGTAACTCCTCCTCCAACTGCAAGGGCCACCATGCTTCCTCCATCTCCTCCAAGGACAGCAGCCTGGACCACCCCTCGTGCGGTGACAGTGGCAACCCGGCCTACTACCACGACTACCACCTTTCCAACCACTCAGAGAACATGGACTACCAGAGTTCATACCACCTCCTCTTCCCACAGGCAGCCTTCAGCAGCTGAGGCGACAACTCCCAAGGGGACCTGGGAATCAGAAGATTTCTATCCCACCTCAAGGAAGGAGCAGCACAAAGAGAGGCAACAGCCTACCAGGAGACCAAGCAAGACCACTGGCTATGACAGCCACACAGCAGCAACCCCTGCAACCCCAGACCACTATACAAGGGCAGGCATAAGCCGCTTCCGTGACAACCGTACAGACAGGAAGGAGTATGGCCCTCGGGATCCAAATGTGGTGCCAGGCCAGCACAAACCAGTGAAGGCAAAGCCACCTAAAAAAAAAGCACAGGAAAAGATTCTAAGCAATGAATATGAGGACAAGTATGACCCTAGCCGGCCTACTGTCTCTCAGCTAGAAGAGGAGCTTGAGGCAGGGAACATCCCCCCTAAGAAAGGGAAGGAGACAAAAAAGCATGAGCGGCCTGACAAGCCTGAGAAGAAGAAAAAGGTGAAGAATGAGAAACCAGACAAGCTGCTGAGAGTGAAAAGCAGACCAAGAAGGACAAGACAGAAAAAAAGAATAAGCAGGAGAAAGAACGGAATAAAAAGAAGAAGGGGAGCAAAACAGAGCATGACGGGTACTTGAAACCCACTTCAAAGCTTTTCACACAGAGTTCCAAGAAATCATTGACTGACCTGCTAGAATTTTTTGAAGGGAAAAGGCGGCTCATTGTAAGTAAACTCCTCAGCCTACTATTTTAGGGGGATGGGCCATGTTTTGGTTTTCTGTTTTTAATGGGAAAAAAATGTGAGGTAATGGATGGATGGATGGATTGATGGGTGGATGGGTGGATGGGTGGATGGGTGAATGGATGAAATGAAGGAAGGAATGAAGAAATAAATGAAAAAGCATTTTTTTTATAAAGACTTTCTTTTTTTGGTTTTGAGTGAGGGAATCGGGTTTAGGTAACTTGCCCAGGGTCACACAGCTAGTAAGTTTCAAGTGTCTGAGGCCGAACTTTGAAAAAGCATTTCTTAAGCACTTAGCTTGTTCCAAGCACAATGCTAAGTGTTGGGTGTTCAAATACAAAGAAAAGACAGTCCTTGACCTCAAGCAGCTTATGTTCTAGTAGGGAGAGACAACACATACAAGGAAATAGTATTTTGGCTTGGAACATTATAGGGATGGTGAGTGGAGCCACAGAGAGGGTATTTGTTATGGTATGGCTGCTGGTAGGAAGTATGGGGAGTGTAGTAAAACTATAGCAAGAAAATTTAGGCATTCAAAGTCTGTCTTTTTTTTTCTAAAACAGTTGTTTGGGTCAACAGAGTTGATCCTATAGCCCTATAGACGGAGTGTCCAAAAGTCCAGCATCTTCTGTTCAGTTGTCCGATAACTCTCCCTTTCCTCTTTGACAGCCTTGTATTTTTGTATATATATATCTTCCTCCCTATGATCTATCACAATGAAGGAGTAGGAGAAGAGGGGATAAGGGCATTAGAAGGTGGGGGCAGTGAATCTCAGTCAGTTGTGTTGACCAATAAACTTCAACTATTACATGAAAAACACTTTCTTTGTGATTGAGCAAGCATGGATAAATTTGTCCTAGTGGGGTGGCAGGAATAAAGAATATGGAATTTTTTTAAAAATCAGTTTAAAATGAATATCAAGACCAGTCTTGAAGGGGAAAAGAAATCACAAAAGAGATGATGAAATTGGGAGGGCAAGATTATGTGTGTATGAGCCTTAGTCCTTTTTTAGCATCAGATGGCAAAACTACCATCTATTCTTCCTCATGACTAACTCCCTGGGTCATTGGCCAGCTAGCAACGGGAACAGAGCAATATAGGATGGAGAACAATGTGAGTTCCTGGATTTATAGTGGGATAATGAGCAATAACCGAGTTTAAGGACCAGATTCCAATTAATTCTGGGCTTTACTGTTGAGACTAAAAAGAGGAGGGTCAGTGTGTATGGAATTTGATCTCTTAAGTCCATTTCTACACTAAAAGTCTGTCACCATTGAGACTCAGAACGGTATCTGTGTTGGTAGAGAGAAAAGCAGTGTTTGTGGTAGGGTGAAGATGCAAACTTGGGGGAATGTCCAGTTAGAACCTTAGTCTTCTTCTGAATCACTGGGTGGTTCTGAGCATTTCACTTTCCCAGGGCTGTCAACATTCCTTAGGCCCACATGTGTCACTCCTTTACACCCACAAAAGAATATGGTAGAAACTGGTTAAAAATGAATTATGTTTTGGAGAATCCCTAGTTCCATATAAAACATAATGCTAATTCTTATAAATAATGTGAAAATGCTACTTTCTCAGTATTCCTTCTTCCACTTTTCATCACCCCCTTATCTCTACCTCAACTGCGAAGTCTCAAGCTAATCTAAGTCAATCCTTCTTAGGGAAATAAGTAATTTATAAAATCTTGATAAGGGTACTTCTCTTCTCTGGACCTCTGTTTACTCGTTGGTAAAATGACTAGATAACTAGGGTTAGATTAGGTTATTATATCTAAACTCCTCTCTAGCTCTAGCATTCTAGGATATTAAGGCCATAGGATTTGGAGATGGAAGCAACCTTAGAGAACGTCGAATCTAATCTCTTAACTTTAAGAATGAGGAAAACAAGGTTCAGGGAACTTAAATTACTAGCTCAAGGTCACATAGACAGTAAGTGACATAGTTGCCCTTTAAATTCAGATCCCCTGACTCCAAATGAAATTCTTGTTTCACCACAAACACTGTCTGTTCACTACACCACACGGATAATATAGTGTCCTTCAGTAACACAAACATCCCCCAATATTTTAATACCCTTGTCAGGAACAGTTGAATTTTAGAAGACTTACAGTCTGTTAGAACTGGGGTGAAGGAACCCTAACTGGTTTTATTCAGGCCCAAAGAAGTCAGGTCATGAAACTAGGGCAATCTTCATGAATTTCTAATTATGTGAATTACATGTGTCTTCCACATTCTCCTAAAATTACACTATTCTTTATGCGTGACTTTTCATACCTGTGGATTAAGTAGGACACTGACTGACACCTCCTTCCCACCATTTCATTTCTCTGGTCCCTTGGTAACCGTTATGTAAACTCTCCATATCTCTCAATCTAAGCTGGATTTGTACCAATGACCTGAATTTAAAAGCTCTGTCTCCCATTAGTCTTTGGCTGTTTTACCAAGTAAGTTCAAATAGCGATTTGGAGCTTTAAACAAAGCAGAAATCGTGGTGGTATTCATCTTAGGTGGGACAGTTCCAAAATTCTCTTCCATCTCTCAGCTGTTTCCCAGGGCTCCTGTCAGAATCCTGAAACCAAACCCAGAACTTTGGAAAGGTTAAGTGGATAAGAGGGATAGATCTTTTTTTTTTCCTTGCAAGTTCAGTTGTGTGTGTGTGTGTGTGTATACATACATACATACACACACACACACACACACACATATATATATATATATATATATATATATATATACATACAGAGAGAGAGAGAGAGAGAGAGAGAGAGAGAGAGAGAGAGAGAGAGAGAGAGAGAAATTCAGTTTTGAGCCACAAGAAATTAATCATAGACTAAGGAACAGCCATTACTAGAGGACAGTATATCACTGTCATTGAAGCATCATTTAGGAATTCTAAGGCATGTTTTATCTGGAATGATGATTATCTGGGGGAAGATTAATCTGGAAATCTTCTACTTCAGGTCCCCAAATCTGACTCATTTTTTGGATTGAACAACCCCCAAAGGATAACTGAACATTTCTTTTGGGACCTCTGAGACAACTCGAACTCTTAGGAGGTGGGCACAAAGAAGCAGGTGTTGCCTTCTCTCCCAACCTTGGGAATAACCTTGCGGCATCATGGGAGTTTGTTTGCCTAACCCTGCTTTGTGGAAGTCATCCAGTCCTGGCCAGTTTGAGCCGACAGGGCAGGCAGAGTTCACCTTTTGGCCAGGTTATAGTTAGAGAATGTGCCAAGGCTGCAATTGTGTACTCTCCTGGCAAATGCCTTTGCTGCAAAATGCTGTGAGCTGAGTTAAAATCCAAAGGAGGTTTTAACTGCCCTCCCATAGACATCACTCTTTTCTTCTCTCCCTCCCTCTTTTCCTTCTTCACCCGGTGATCTGAAAGTTCAGCTGTGCCCTTTCTGCTTTTCATATCATCACCAACAATAAATCTTCAGCGCTTGAAACTCAGTTGACAGTTTTTGCTGATGTCACATGAGGCAAAGAAGAATCCAACTTGGCTTGCTGGTGACTGTATGAGCTCACCAGGGTTCGCAAGGGTATAAAGTTTGTTATTAGAAATAAAATAGGAACAAGATATATTACATTTCCCCACTGATGCACCCTTTCAGATCATGATTCCACCTGAAATTTGTTTTTTGAACAGTGGGGCAGCTAGTTGGCTCAGTGGATAGAATGCTCTACCTAGTGTCAGGAAAACCTGAATTCAAAGACAGCCTCAAATACTTACTAGCTGTGTGACCCCAGGCAAGTCATTTAACCTTTGTTTGCCTCAGTTTCTTCATCTATAAAGTAGGGATGATAATAGAACTCACCTTCCAGGATTGTTGGGAAGATTGAGTGAGATAGTAAGTACTATATAAATCTTAGCTATTATTGTTGACAGAAATAAGAATCAGGTGAGAAGAGATGACTAGCTTTATGTCTCAAACAGAGTATTTGTTGTTCAGTCATTTCAGTTGTGTTTGACTCTTCATGATCCCATTTTGCCATTTTCTTGGCAAAGATACTGGACTGGTTTACCATTTCCTTCTCCAGCTCACTTTACAGATGAGGAAACTGAGGCGAACAGGGTTAAGTGACTTTCTCAGGGTCACACGGCTAGTGTTTGAGGCTGGATCTGAACTCAGGTCTTCCTGACTCCAGGCCCAGTGTTCTATCCATTGTGCCACCTAGCTGTCCCTGAACACAGTATGGGCACTTACAAATATTTATTGAATTGGAAAAAAAAATCAAGACTTAATAAAGATCAAAAATTGGTAGAAAGTAAAGGGGCATAGTAGACTTATGGGTAGAGAGGTGAACAGGAATCAGATTTTGGGTAAATGATTTCAGACATGCTGCTTACCTTCTCTGTGTCATACAAAGTTACCTTTCCTTTCAAACTTAGAGATGGTATTTTTTTAACCTCCCTAGGAACACAGTGGTTCAGTTAATATTCACAAAGGTATAGATACCTAAAAGTAGGCACTGCAGAAGTTCAAGTGTGGCAGCTAAAGTTTTCTTCCTAGTGACCCCAACTTAACCTGATATCTTGGAAATGAAGCAAGGTCTACGGACCAAAGCAAGAGCACAGTATTTGCAGCCCAGCCAATCTGATATGGCTCTCATAACGTGAGTGTTTTACATTCATGCAATTTCGTTCTTTTGAGGAACAAAAAACTTTCACAGTAATGAGCCCTGAATTTGGAGCAGGAGGTTCCAATTGGAGCTCAAATCCAGGCTTCACTGTTTACCACCTGTCTGACCAAGTCACTTTACTTTCAATGCCTCAATTGTCTCATAAAGTGTCTATAAAGTGAGTGAGATGAGGATATTGAACTAGTTGATTTCTGATGTTCCTCCCAGCTCAAAATCTACAATTCTGTGAATAGCTCACCAAGCCTTTATAAGAATTGTAGCAGCTAATGTTTGCAGTTTGCAAGTGGGCAACTGAGACACAGAGATTTTACAGGACACCCCATCCATTATCCTGAAATAT